TAACATATTAGTCATAACAAATTACTTTACTGCCCTCTTCTGGTCAGTGGTCACGTGACATGAATGGACAAGTTCAATTTTATGTTACTGGGGGATGTTGCAGCACAAAGGCCTGTATGGAGTAGGTTACCCTGACGCATGCGTTTTTTCCATTTGTTCATTAGTGTCCATACCCTGGACATGGAGGACGGGTCCTAGTGGTGCAGTGCACTTGCCAGAAAATTTTGTCTATCTATTTTTGTCAGTTGTAGGTATTTTAAAAATCATAATAATGTTACTAATTACCTTACTAAATACATGAGTTTATGGTTGTAAATTATTTTTTTATTTTATTTTTATTAAATTATACGTTTCACCTGAGTGTATGCACCTCTGTCCCTCATTCTGTACTTGTTGGTTCATAGTTCCGGAATCTGTGCACCATGTTTTTCACCTTCGTTAAAATATGTGCATAAGGTTCTCAATGCTAGCTCCCTTTAGCCTGGTCATTTCAATCGTAGCTCCGAGGCCAAAAACGTGTGGACACCCGTGTACTGCTGCATCCAGTCAGCTGGGGCATCATCGTCAGTCCTCTCGTATCGTTTTCTGCTGCATCTCATTCAAAATGAAGCCCCGCGTCAAATATTCCTTCAAAGGCTGAAGCAACCTCTGGAGTCCAAGTCAGTGCTAATTACCGATTGTCTGCCATTCTCCCTGTTTGATCTCTAATTGAGCTGAGGCTCAGGGCCTCTGACTGTGAGTCGTACCCCACGTCCCCCGTCTCCTACCCCAGGTTTCAGCTCCTCCCTTTACATTCGATTTATTTTTATTTCCTTTATAACCCAGTCATCTGGGGAACTGTTTATTGAGGTTCTATCAGCGAGGTTTTTCTATTATTATTTTTTTTTAAACTTATTTTCTGAAGCAGATGGTGTGAAATTGTGTTTATATTCGCCTGCAACGTTCATTGCGCACGCATTCAATTATGTTCCATAACAAAGTACAATACGCGTGTTAATGCTTTCGGAATAGTCAAAACTTCATGAAATAAAATAGTTTTTTAGCGTGGCCGTTTTCACTGCAGCCGCTTGTCTTTTTTGCATATTTTATTTTTCCTCTCGCTTTCATTTTCTCTACGTCTCCTGTTTTTTTTTTCATCTTCCCTCTGTGTCTACCTTTTCTTTCATCCTTCTTTCAATCTGTCAGCCTCCATTTTCTTTTCCCTCCCCACCATCCCTACTATCTTTCCCTGCTTTCTTGTCACTGATTAATTTTACAAGAGAAGAAGAGGGGATTTTTATTTTTAATTTTTCACTTGGGAATCGGTTCTAGCGCCAGAATCTGCTGTTTGGGGTCGAAGGTTTTTTCCTCTTTGTGTGTGTACACTTTGAAACACCCAGGAGTCAAAGGTCATGTTGGTAATATATCCACACTCACACTCTTAGCTTGGGGCGTGAAAACATTTCTGTCCTTAAGGGGGGGGGGGCGTGAAACTATTTCTGTCACGGGGGGTGCATGACAGAAAATAATTGAGAACCACTGATGTAGATAAATAAATATGACTCACTTTGAAATTAAATTCCATTCCTGTCATCCAGTGTTCCTTTGCATTCAGTGTCCATTCACAACAATGTGGTACAACTTAATGCTGTTCCTGTTCTGCTTCTCTTTTATAATGTTTGCTTCTTGGAACGGGTGTATGAAAAATAAGGTTTCTTTGGGTCCAACCATATCTTCTTGGTGCCTTTTAATATAATTACTTTCTATATATATATATTTTTTTTTTTTTGTACTAATTTTACAATGGAGTGTTTGTCATTTAAAAACAGTCTCCAGCACAAAATCAATAGAGAAACGCAGTATTTTTTTTATTTGCTTCCAGGCAGAGAGAACACGTTTATTGCAAACTGCTTGAGTTAGTTTAGATTTATTCCTTGGTGAGCTTCAAATCCTTTGTTCTGTTGTTCTTTAGAGAGACAAATGCATCAAACGC